AAACCACCAATTTAAGAATAAAAAAAATCCTAGATAACTTCTAATCATAATTCTTAAAAAGAGAAACGATCTCAAAAATCTTATCATTAAATTTAAGATTTCCACAACAGGTTTCATTGAAGGTAGAGGAAAACAATCTATGTAATTAACAATCGCGGTTTCAGAATTCTTCACGAACGTTTGAGTGAGATCATGGCCTAGGTAACAAGTTGTTCAACAACAGGAACGGCCGGGAAAGATTCTCGCGAGGCTGGCCGATGCCTTTTATCGCGGCATCGTTACCAAATGCACCGTACGGTCACAGCTTTACGGTACTTCGGGGCCGCTGTTACGTTTTTACTGCGTCGTTCCGCGAGCACGCGAGGGCACGACGATTCCATCGTCGACGTCGCCTCGGGACGCCGAGGCGAAGGTACACAAGAGAACGAGCGTGAAACTTCTGATAAGAGACAGAATTCTCTCCTTGATCACTAGACATTACGTGTCTACAAGCTATTTATTTTCAATTCTTTATAATTGGAGTAAGCGTTAATAAAGAGAGAGAGAGGCATTTAACTCATTATTTCTTAATCCAATATAATGCTTTGTAAAAGTGTGTACTGGATTCCATTTCCTTTGCTATATTTGTACGGTAACAGGGTAAAGACATATAACTTCCATGAGACGTTTATACATGTACGTGTAACGGAAACTGAACTTCTGTTTAGCAATGTCTGTCGAGCAATTTAGTACCCTTTTGTAAATTTCATTCTATTGTTTCCCGGAATCCATCAAATTTGTACAATGGTGAATTTCTGGATTCCGCGTTTTACGATCCGTGTTTTTAGAAACGGCGAACTAGTAATTACCGTTGACGCGTTTTACGTCGCGGCAACGTTCAAAAACAGAGCGAACTCAACCCCACCTAAAATATTGCATTACATTTCGGATCGGCGTGTAAATTGAATTCGATTAAAAGCCGTTACGGAAATCAAAGCTTCACAATCTACTGATTGGACGCTGCGAAAAGCGCGCGTGAAAACATTCGCTCGCTATAAATTATCCGGTGTTTCAAAAAAATTGACGGCCGCGGCGTGCAACGATACCGAGAAACGCTAACCAATATTCAGCGTTTCGAATATACGTGTTTGCATATACTTTTTAAATGAAACGTATCAAAGAGCTGTCGGATTGATCCATTGCCTGTTAATAAATTTCACATAAAATTTAAACCAAACGAAATTATCAATGTTCAAATGTTTCTTCTAAATTACTAACAAAATCACCAAATAGGTTGAATAAAAAATAATAAAAAAATTACACGTCGATTGATCGATGATGTTTGAGTGCAGCCGTCGTCCCAATTAGTATAAAATTAGTCGGGTCTCATGCACGCTTCACGGGGGCAGTAAAAGCAACCTAATGCCACCCATAAAACCGCGATCCCTTTTAAATCCTTCCCCATTCGATACTTAAGCACAACGATACGCGGAGCACTCAAACTGGGAAGTATGAAACCATCGTTTTACGACGTATACAAACTGTGATCAATGCATCGAATAAATCAACTAACCAAAACAAATCTTCAGATATAATAATTCTTGTAATCATTTCGCCAGTTAAATCATACTTTATAATAGACGATCTATTATTGTAGAAATTTCTATGCATAATCTTGCACAGATTTTTTTTCGAAAGTAGAACAATCGCTGGCTGTGCCTTAGTAAGGCAGAAGCGAGGCATGAAATCACTGATCACGTTGGTCCTGTCGTTATCGCGTCATAAGAACACGGCTCTCGTTGGCGGGGACACTGGGGAGGCAAAAGGAGCAGCAAGCGGAATAATAACAATGAGCCGCGGGCCACGCGGAGTCAATGCGGAGCAGCTGCGATCCGCGTAATGAAAGTATGATTGATGATCGAGCCGACGCGCGTCATTAGCTCGACGCGAAGAAGCAAGAGGAGAAGGAGGATTGCGCGTTCTTCTCTTCGAGATGCGTTTTACCATTGCATCGCGTTGCCACAGACGGGAACGTGTTTTGAATTAGCGACCCGGCCGCCTAATATAATTTGAACGAGCGCTCCGTTCAATCCTCGACGCTTGTTCCCTCTCTTTTTTGGACGCGGGTAACGTTTCCGGATAAAGGTACATGAGAAATGACGCTTGCGTCCGACGATTAACGCTTCGAGCGACTTGTTGCGATTGCTCGCAACGGCTGCGAGGAAATCGAATTTCGTGAGCTTCGTTTCAAGCTACTGCAACGCTTTTAGAAAAATTAGGTTCTCTTATAAAATTTTGTAAGAAGGAACTGTGGATATCTCATGAAATAAATTAATAGCAAAAAAGAAACTAGTGACGGTCTTAACGGAAGTTCTCTTCAAGTATGTGTAATAGCACAAATTTAATATCACGAGGTACCGGGGGATAAGGATTCGTGCATGATTAATGAACTCCGAAGGCAGGACCTCGCAAATTGCAGATACCATCGACGCAGAGACAATTATCGATCCGGGGCTACGAAAATAAAACGTCTCTCACCTGGTTGAGAACAGGAGGACCCGGTGGTGGCTCGACGATCCACAGGGGACCCGGGAGCGTTTGAAAGATACATTTATCTCGCTTCCGTTCGAGCAAAATCTGCCCAGGGGCCTAATGCTTCGGCTATTAAGGTTTAATGGACTGCTGATCGTCCGAGTGCTGGGAGGGAACGATGCCCGGGACTCCGGTGTCCCGGTGGAATCGGAAAAATGGACCCGGGCAACCGGGCCGGTCGACGAGGAGGACGAGAGATCCGTGCGTCTCTCGCGAATTTCTCCTCGCGCCTCGGCGAACCACGGCCAAGGATAATCGACTGCTTCTCGAAATCCTCACGTAACGCCATCGATTTCAATTCGAGAGGCGTACCTCGCCGGCCGGGAGCACCAGGCGACGGTACACGGCCGAAGGAAAAGGGGTTGCGAAGTGGCCGTGATCAGGATTGACTCGGGATGACAATCTAACCGTACACGGGTTTCCACTTTACTCCCGACGCGGACGGGAACAGTTCGGCTCGTTAGTTCGCTCTCTCCGAGGCTCTTTCCCGCGGTCGAATCACTGTACTCAGTCGCTCAGGAGAAGCGACACGATTTGCTAGCGAAATGCTCAACAGTATTCTCGGTTCATTTGAACGATTTGAAAATAAACCACGATAATACTTGCCCCAATTTTTCGAAATAATTCTACTTGTTACGATCTTTTTTTCAAAATAATAAATGTGAAAACATGAATGAAACTCTGATAATTTGACAAATGTTTCTGCGATTATAAAAATACAAAATATTAACCAAGGTAAGTAGCTGCAGGTCCATCGAAACGAGAAAAAAGTTCGGAAAAGACGCAGGGAGTTTCGGTTGTGAAGTGAGAGGCGTGTTGGCTGCTCGTAAAACTCGGTCTGATCACCGGTACCAATTATCCCGCCGTTATCCGAACGTTATCCGGAACGTTATCCACCTTTTGCACAGGGTCCGTGCACGAAACAGCCCTCCTGCCATCATCCGAATCACTAGTCGAACCCTTGAACCCTAAAGGAGAAAGAGAGAGAGACAGAGAGCTACTTTCGCTACCCCTAACCCCGACTATGTAACCGTTGTTGTCGCCTTTTACTGCAAACGAAGTGATTCCCTCCTCGTAAACGCGACGTCTCTTTACAGATTACACGACCCCGAAACCGGAGACTTGCTGTTTTCTGTTCGTTCTTTAACCCTCCTCTCCTTTTCTCAGATTTTTTTAATGCTCGAAGGGTGAATTTTGTATTTAATTAACACTAGATTGCCCAAGGAAGTCATTTTGACTGGTTTTGGGCAAATGTAAAAAATAATAATGCAAAAATTATT